CTCAGTTTCATTATAAACAAGCCCAAATATTTTCTCCACCCTTCTTTTCCCTTTCCCTCCAATACCTTCAACTTACAAGCTTTCCAAATGCAATTCTCATTGTTCAAGATAGGTGGTGGTTTTTGTATTTGTTTTTTTAGGATTCTAATTATTTATTTAGAGAGAGAGAGAGAGAGAGCGAGAGAGCACAAGCAGGGGGAGCAGCAGGCAGAGGGAGAAGCGGGCTACCCGCTAAGCAAAGAGCCTGATGTGGGGCTCGATCCAAGGACCCTGGGATCATCACCTGAGCTGAAGGCAGACACTTCACTGACTGAGCCAAGCACCCCGATAGGGGGGTTCTGTGAAGTATCCCCAACACACCATGGGTGGTGGCTGCTGGAGGAGATACAGGGTTAGGTTAGCCTCTGCCGAGTTTTCCTCAAACCATCAATATGTAACCGTGCTTCATATATGTCTCTGTTGAAAACCACCTTATTTAATATCCCCCATTCGTTAACGTTGAGCTCAGAAGGCACTATCACTCATGCCTCAAGGAAGCTTCTGTGCCCTGGTGGTCTCTCCACGAGGCCCAGCCCAGCCTGCTCGAGCTCCCTGGGGACACAGGGCAGCCCTTCCGCCCAGCACCGGCGCCGGTTCCCGCGGCGACATCAGCAGGACCCCACAACGGGAGGAACGTGGAGGCAAATCGAGCGCGGACAGGGCCTCGCTCCCAGCATGAGCGTCGAAGCAACAAAAGGGCAGAGCTCCCGGGGCTCCGTCTCAGCTGTGATCACGCCTGACAGTGTCCCGAGGATTGATGGGAGAGCGACACATCCCTCTTCCAAATCACGAACATCAGCTGTAGCGACAGAGCGCCTGCTGCCCTCGTGTTCCTCCCGCACCGTGTCCTTTTCCCGCCCTCATTCTTTTCAAGGCCTGTGTACTTCCTCGCTCCGGGCCCTGCCGCCGGCGTCCCGAGTCAAGGCCCTGCTTCTCCAGGATGTGTCCCTGCTCCACGCTGAGAGCTGACACGCACGGAGAAGGTCGTCTGCGGGTAGCATCTGAAACCCGCCTCGCCCACACCGGCCCTGGACTCAGACGGCCAGGGGAGACCGAAGAAGAGGCTACTCCAGGCTGCTAGGCGGCAAGGGTTTGTTAAAATTATTTTAGCGAGGGGGCGCCTGGGTGGCTCAGTGGTTTAAAGCCTCTGCCTTTGGCTCAGGTCGTGATCTCAGGGTTTTGGGATCGGACCCCGTGTCGGGCTCTCTGCTCGGCGGGGAGCCTGCTTCCTCCTCTCTCTGCCTGCCTCTCTGCCTACCTGTCTATCAAATAAATAATAAAATAAAAAAAACTCTTTAAAAGTTATTTTAGGGAGAGCTGGAGCACACGAGCACAGCGAGGGGCAGAGGGAGAGCGAGAATCTCAGGCAGGCTCCCCTCTCAGCGCAGAGCCTGACTGGGGGCTGGAGCCCACCACCCTGAGATCACGCCCTGAGCCGAAACCCAGAGTTGGCTGCCTAGCCAGCTAAATCCCCAGGCGCCCCAGATGGCAGGTTTAATGAGCAAAGGAACTTGCCTAGGAGGCCTGTGGCTCCTCGGGGGGCATCCTCGAGATGAGTGGATCCCCGCACCCGCCCTAATGCCGAACCTTGAAAGGGGATCAAGGGGCCCTACACAGGTGCAGTCACAGATGCCGCACACGTGTTCTCAACGCCGCATCCCCATCTCCAGGCCGTGTCCTTGGAGCAGCCTCTGGGCACAGGAAAAGCAAGGGAACCCACCTTCCAAGGACCGGGGAGGGGGTGACGAGCTAGGGGCCAGCGCCCGAGTCAACGGGCAGCCCCATCTTTTCAGTGACCTTCCCCAACAAACACTGTCCTACACGTGTTCTCATTTCGCGCTCGGTTTGGAGGTAGGACCTTCTAGCTGGGGAGGTTAAGTAACCTGCCCTCGGACTGGGGTCAGGATTTGGTCACGGTCACGGCTCAGGCAGTTTGCTCCCGAGGGCGCGGCCCCGCTCTTCCCTCAGCCCGCATCCCCCAAGCCGCCCCACAGCACTGGTGTTCTTGAGAAAAACAGGCGTCGTGGTCAAAGAACGCTTGGGAATCCTCAGGCTGAACCAGGCTAAAACATTTTTCTTCCTGTGAAGTTTTTTATTTATTTGAGAGAGAGAGCACGAGCCCGTGCAGGTGGAGAGGGGGGAGGGGCAGAGAGGGAGGGACAAGCAGACTCCACACTGAGCTGGGAGCCCGAGGTGGGGCTCGATCCCACGACCCCCAGATCACAACCTGAGAGGAAACCAAGGGTTGAGGACAGAGAAAGGAGCATTTCCAGCGACACTGTCCCTAGAGATTTCTGGTTTGGAAGTTGGGGTTCCTAGGGATCCATTTATATTTAGTTGGTTTACTCCTCCCTAAATCTGGCCCCGCCCCGCCCCGTATTAGCTCTGTGACCCCAAGGCTGTTTGCAGGCCTGGGAGTGCTCTTTGCGAGAAAGAATGCTAACAGGTGCCCAACTTTGTGCCTGGAAACAGTTAAGTGCTCACTAAAAGCGGGTCCTTAACCTCTCCGGGAGGGCCTTGCCTGAAGGGAGGGATGTTTCCTTCCTCTTTCGATGGCTTTTTAGTTTCTTGGCACAAGGTGGCGCGCCACCTTCAAGAAAAACCGCATGGACTCGGGTTTTTGTTTCCTTTCGAGCCTGCCTGTGCTTAAGTCTTTGCAGCGGTTGAGACACAGTTTCTGTCGTTTTACATAAGGGTTTCAGATGATAATCGGTGCCTCTTCAAGGTATTTTCGGTTTCTACAAGAAGGTGTGGTGGGCGCCTTCCAGACCCTCAGGGATGGTGCAGAGAGCACCAGGCTTTGATTTGGGAGCACCTGTTCCAAGGGCCAAAAAGCATTCAGGATGATGGTAAGTGTATTTCCCTCCGTTCTGAAAGTCGTGAATTTATTTTTGTTTAATTTTTAAAAAATATGTGATTTATTAATTGTTTTAGAAGATTTTATTTATTAGAGAGAGAGTGCACACAAGCAGTGGGAGCGGCAAGCTGAGGGCGAAGCAGGCTCCCCGCTGAGCAAGGAGCCCAATGCGGGGTTCGATCCCAGGACCCTGGGATCATGACCCGAGCTTAAGGCAGAGGCTTCACCAACTGAGCCACCCAGGGGCCCCAACTTAGAGAATTCCTATACAACCTTCAGATTCTCCAAATATAAACATTTTACTGCATTTACTTTAGTCTATATATTTTTTCTGAGATGTTCGAGAATATGCTGCAGGCGTGGTGCCTTTTCGTCTTTGAATATTTCTGTGTACATTTCCCCAGGTCCTAACCACAGTACACACAACACCAAGGTCAGGAGGTTAATGCTGATTCAGCGCAAGTACTGTATCCAGATGTTGCCAGCTGCCCTGTTTATGTGCTTCATGGTAAAGGAAGACGAGAGTTTTCCGGTTGCAGAACCCAGTCTCTGAGGACGCAGCGCTCCTGCTCGTGTGTCCCCTTACGAGCCCTCAGCTTGAACAATTCTTCAGGTTGTCTTTCGTGACTGAGCATTTTTGAAGACTCCAGACCAGTGCGTCGTTTTGTAGGCTGCCGGTCAGTTTAAGTTTGCGGAGTGTTCCCTCACGATTCTAGGTTACGCGTTTTGGGCAGGAATACGACAGAAACCACATTTGTTATGTGTCTTTACTCCTATCAGCAGCCATTGAAACTGCTCGAGGTGCTGTCTAGCTGCTCTTTTTCTCCTTTGTAATTAACTTAGGTAGCCTGCGGGGACAGATTAACTTAATAAATCAAGTAGAACGAACTGATTTGTTTCCCAACAGCATTATGCGGAGTCGAATGAAAACAGGTGGCCCTGGGACCCGGCGGATGGAAATACATTTGTATGTACATTTGTATGTAGCGAATGATAAACCTTCCCTTTCCTTACATACACACGTGCTTCTCATCACGGCCGGGCACTGTGGGGCCCCCAGGGGGGCGCTATCCACAGCGCAGGAACACCAGACGCTGGGGTTTACCGGAAAATCCCTGGCGCTTGAAAGCAAAATGTCTTGAAAGTCGGATGTCTAATTCACACAAATACAGGCCACAGGGGGTCTGGTTGCAATGAACCCATCATCTCTGGACTCCCTATTCTTGGCAGAGGGCCCACTATCCTCCACTGACCTGCAGGCTCCCCTGAACTCGGCCTCCAGCCCGCTCTAGGACAGGGTCCCTTACATGCTTTGTGGGATACAGGCAAGAATTCAGTCCCTCTTCTCCCGGATACCGTGGGAGCGTCAGACGGCTTCTTGCAGGGACTTTGTATGCACTTAAGTAATGGGAATGGTTCTGCTTTCTCCTGTCCAGTGAGCAGTTCACTGTGGAGATCAAGGGGGATCAAATACTCGTGGGGAAGAGCCACACAGTAAATATTTTAGGCTGCGTAGCCCTCCTCACTTCTGCTAAGCCAGGCAAAATCAGCCGGCAGTGGTCCAGCCGTGATGAGCATCACCGGGCTCCAGTAAAAGTTTATTTACAGACACGGAAATTTAATTTTTTTTTAATTTAAAAATTTTTAAAATAAACATATAATGCATTATTAGCCCCAGGGGTACAGGTCTGTGAATCACCAGGTTTGCACACTTCACAGCACTCACCATAGCACATACCCTCCCCCATGTCCGTAACCCCACGCCCCCCTCTCCCAACCCCCCTCCTCCCAGCAACCCTCAGTTTGTTTTGTGACAGTAAGAGTCTCTTATGGTTTGTCTCCATCCCGATCCCATCTTGTTTCATTTATTCTTTTCCTACCCCCCCAAACCCATGTTGCATCTCCACTTCCTCATATCAGGGAGATCATATGATAATTGTCTTTCTCTGATTGATTTATTTCGTTAAGCATAATACCCTCTAGTTCCATCCACGTTGTTGCAAATGGCAAGATTTCATTTCTTTTGATGGCTGCATAGTATTCCATTGCATATATACACCACATCTTCTTTATCCATTCGTCTGTTGATGGACATCTAGGTTCTTTCCATAGTTTGGCTATTGTAGACACTGAAATTTAAATTCCATGTACTTTTCATGTGTGATGGAATACTATTCTTTTGATTTTTCCCCCCCAAACTGTTTAAAGGTGTAGGAACTATTCTTAACTACAAATGCGGGGAGCAGGCTGGCTTTGCCGAATGGCTTGCAGTTTGCTCTGTTGTAATTGACTGATAAGATTGCTTCTGACTCATTTTATGGTTCGGTACTTCGCTTGACGAGAAACTAAATCCCAAGTGAGTATAAGTATGAATCCCACTGACTAGCTCTTCACGTGACAAAGTAGAACCACGTGTTTCTTGGGGGAAGATACACAGAAAAGGAGTCTCTCCCTCTACTAATTCCTGTCCTTTCCCCCCAGATTGTAGGCCCAGCCCAGGCCTCCTCGGGGTGTTTACCGAGTTAGGATGGTGAAGCGGGTTTGGAGTCAGGGGCACGCTTTCCCCTCCGACACAATAACATCGGAGAGCCCGGCCCCAGCCAGGCCTCTGGGAGCAGCGTTTGCTTAGAAGCTCAACCCCAGGGCCGATTCCTCACCAGTGGCACAGGCGCCGAATGAGAGAGAGAAGTGACCCCATCAATGAGTGCTAGAAGCTTCTTCTTCTTATAGTCACTCCCTCCCCTACCCAGTGAGGTTTGGCTGCCGGGAGGGGATTCTTTGGAAAGCAGACCTTACAGCAAGTGTATCACTTGGGATGTGTGTGTGTGTGTGTGCCGGGGGGTGAGGGGGGACAAGCAACTACACGTCCACTTCCTAAATGCTAAGAGTCACAGAAATGGATTTTTAATCCAGAACCTGTCGATACTTACATGATCAGAAGACGCACATGCCTGGTGGGTGTCACCGTTGACCGTTAGCAAATTCTCTTCACTGCCTACAAGCCCCTGTCTTGGTCAACGCATGAGTCATCCTGGGTGACGTGCTCATGCAGCTTCTGAAAGTGCCCTTTATACCCTCCTAGGGAATCAGGGGACATATGGAGACTGTTCTCGCTGAGTGACCATGAGGCCTCTACCGGGTGTTACTTAAGAAAACAGAAATTTAGAGAGAGGAATTTTAAATGGTTGAAACTTTGCAGAAGATAAAGACCAAAATCAAGAAAGTGAAGTGGAAAGCAGAAATTTCACACTGACTTTTAAAAAGTTAATTATAGTCTTTTATTCCTAACTTGGAAAAAAAAAAGCCTTAATCTCTGGGAAACTATTTACAGGACTAATCACATTTCAAGCCAGGTGTTTGGATATGAAGAAGGGCCACTTAATGTCCCTTCTTGGGACAGGCTGGGACGGGTGACATGATCTGCCCAAGGGGCTTCATCAAGGAGAGGACCTCATGTCCTGGCTGCTGACGAGAAAGTGTCAGAGGCGTGCCAGACACCCATTTGCTAACAAATAATTACATGTCTTTTTAGTGTTTAAGAGAAATCTTAATCTTTCGGGGACATATCTGTAGAATTATTCTGAAAATGTGTATGGTTAGAAAACTCTTAGTTTGAAGGAAAAAAATCAATAAGCTTGTCACCCCCATGAGACCCGTTACATCTTCCCAGGCACTGACGGGCCTTTTGGGGACAGGAATATGGAGGACCGGGCTCCATAAAGTGCTGACATGGACATCAGCAGCTTCCTCGGCTCAGAGCCTCACCCCACAGGCTAGCAGACCGCAGCAGAGTTTTGGGTCAAAGTGCTTTGGGGAACATCTTCTTGCTCCTTCTCTGGAAACGAAACGATGGACACCGAGTCCCAGGCATCATCCGTTGGCGATGTGTCTGTGTCCAGGGCCTCTAGGATAGGCTGGCTTGGGTCCTTCAGATACTTGAAAAGGTTGAAAATCAACAGCATCATTAGCTTCTCAGTTCAACATGGCGGACCTTCTACCTGAGGTTGAGTTGGTACCTTCCTATTCTGACCACCACCAAAGCCACTTCTCAAACAAGAACGCCCCTCACGTCAACAGTCACCTCAACAGGAATCCCAGGGCCAACCAAGCTCACACGGTGCCTCGGAAAAAGCACGTTGTAACTTCCTGCCCCTGGTGCGGGCTTGGGGCCTGTTCTCCCCGGAAGTGGCTCTAGGATTCTCACTTTCCAGTGAGGGAGGACGAGGGACCTCCAGTTCACCCCTCATGGGGGAAAAGAGGGAAAGTTGGCCCATGTCTTCCTCAGCCCCTCTACCCACCGGTCACTTCCACCTCACATGACACACACCAAGCAGAGAAGCAATGAGAGACGGAGGGGGCCTCAGAGCGCCCCACCTGCCCGTTCCCTCAGGCCTCAGCACCAGGCTGAGCCATCATGTCACAGCTGCGTGACCGAGAAACTCCTGTCTCGCTGCCACACGGGCCGACAGACACCGAAACACACAGCGAGCCCAGAGCTGACGGGCGACAAGAGGAGCATAAACCAATCCTGAGCGCTTCTGAAACCTCAAAAATATAAGTGAAACCTGATTCGTTATTCTCGTGTAACCTCAGTGCCCTTTGATATCTATTTTTCACACTTTCCCAGGGAGGTGAACCGAAAGACTCTGTTTTAGACCCATGACCCAAAGAAACAGCTAGTAGTAAATTCACCTCACAGGGACCTGCTGGTGGTTTTACCGTGAGAGAGATCCGAGCAGGTAAGACGCCGACGCCCACTGAGGGCTGTTACTGTGTGAAAATATTAACCAGGGAAGGTCTTTTGTTTTTGTTTTTCTTTTCTTGACTTTTCTTTTTTTTTTTTTTTTTTGTGGTAACACTTAATGTGAGTTCTACCCTCTTAAAAAATTTCTAAACGCACAATGCACTACTGTCTCTAGACACGATGATACACAGCAGCTCTCCAGAACTGACTCATCCTGCATAACTGGAACTTCATGGCCGCTGAACGGCATCCCCCTGGGTCCCTCTCCCCTGCCCCCGGCAACCACATTCTACTCTTGCTTCTATGAGGCAGACTATTCTAGATGCCTCACGTGAGTGGAATCGGCCTGGAGTTTTCTAGTGGGGGACTTCACGTGTAATTTGAGTTCTGTCTGGGTACTTTAAACACCTCGTGACGGAGGAAGGAAGATAAGGGACTCCGGCTTTTTCTAGAAGCACTACTTTTTCTCTATAGACTTGGACCTTATCTAACACCTATTCCTTCTAGGTGTAACAGACGAAGAGTCTGTTTCCAGTACCTTTACTCTGATTTTACTGCTAATAAACCTCCAGAGACAAATACTTTTAAATAATCTTCCATCAGCTTCTAGAAGGCTGGGCCACCTCACAGAGCCTGGGCGGTGGTGGTGGTGGGGATGCTGAGCAGGAAAGTGACTTCCCACGAGACCCTGTCCACCTGTCTCCCTCAGGTCTTTCAGAATATTAGTGACATCCAGTGAGCTCTCGGTGTGGACGGCTCTGTACTCACAGCCCTGGGTGCGTTTCCTCTAGAATCCTTCTGAGTGTACAGCTCCCGCCCTACAGCCCTGTCTCCATCGCCTTCTCACCCTCTGCCAGGGTCCTGGCGGCTTTCTCCACAAGCGATCTCTTGGCCTCGCCAGGCCACCTTTTCCACCAACTTCGTGCCATTAAAAAATTCGTTTTAGGGCACCTGGGTGGCTCAGATGGTTAAATGTCTGCCTTCGGCGAGGGTCATGATCCCAGGGCCCTGGGTTCGAGTCCCACATTGGGCTCCCTGCTCAATGGGGAGCCTGCTTCTCCCTCTGCCTCTCTCTCATGAATAAATAAAATCTTTAAAAAAATTGTTTTAAGTTGTGGTAAAAGACATTATTAGAATTCAGAATTATCATTTTTAAGCGGTATAAAATACATTCACACGGTTGGACAAGCCCCACCACCATCTCTGGAACTGTTTTAATTTTGCAAAACTAGAACTCTGTCCCCATTAAACGCTAACGCCCCATGTCCCCCTCCCCACCCATACCCCAGCGCCCACCACTCTACTCTCAGTCTCTGTGAGCCTGACTCTTCTGAGTACGTCACGGAAGTGGAATCACACAGAAGTTGTCGTTTTGTGACTGGCCTTTTCACCTAGCATCGTATCTTCAGGGTTCACCTGTGTTGTTGCGTGAGTCAGAATCCCCCTTCCCCTTAATGGCTGAATAACATTCCATTGTGTGGCCAGACCACACTTTGTTTATCCGTTCATCCACTGACAGAAACTTAGGTTGCTTCCAGCATTTAGGGGTTGTGCATATTGCTGCTATGAACACGGGTGTACAAATAACCCTGTACCACTTTTTTTTCCCTCCAAGTAGGCTCCACACTCAGCGCGGAGCCCAACGCGGGGCTCGAACTCACAGCCCTGAGATCAAGACCTGAGCCGAGATCAGGAGTCGGATGTCAGCTGACTGACCCCTGCCCTGAACCACTTATAACTCCACACTCTGTGTCCGTGGCTTTGTCCACTGCCGGACTCCTAGGCGTTACCACGGGGCCGCAGAGGGCTGACATGTCACCCCCTGGATGTGTGCACACGTACCTCTTCGATTTGTGACGGGATGCTTGGCGGAGAGTGAAACCAGTATTTTACCAGGCCTTTGTATCTCAGCACCAGGAAGAAACAGCCCCCCGCCAGCACCGCCAGCAACAGAAAGACTCCCACGGCGATGAGGATGACTTGTTGAAGCTTGGTAGTGGCTTAAAAAAGACGACACAAGAGTGAACAAGAGGCCCATCCCGCACACGATACGAACACCGGGTCAGCCTTCACTGCCAACTGCTTCGATAGTGTCCACGTCCTCCTGAGATGGACACACACTGTCCCTCCCCTGCCCAGCCTTGCGCGCTCAAGTGCATAACTAGTAAAAGCAACCCTAAAACTGAGCGGTGTTAGCCGTCTGGTGGTGTCACCGCAGATCTCAGCACGAGCTGGTTAGACCGACTTGGGCGCTGGCTTCTCGCCCCTTCTCTCTGGGTCTCCCCACTGCCACCGCCCTCCACCTTGTAAGCCAGCCCGGGCTACACTACTCAGGGATTCTGGTCCCAGCTCAGAAAGGACGTAAGGAAGGCAGGTGTTACCATCCATCATTGTTTCGTAGCAAGTTATGTTGCTTAAGCGGCCGGGTCTAGAGGTGTTGCAGGATGTGCGAAAGAGATGCGCCTTCACTTGTAAACAGTATTCTCTTAAGGGTCTCAACCCATCCAACACGATGGAGTTGCTCTTGAAAGGACCTTTAACCTACGTAAAAAACGCCAACAGGAACATATGAAAATGACCCAGAGAGATGTGGTCGAGCCACTTGTAGCTTTGCCAGTGTTTCCTCAAATCCCCAGGGAACACCGTCACCAAAGAAAGAGATTCTGTTTTTTGTTTTTTTTTTTTTTAAAGATTTTATTTATTTGTTTGACAGACAGAGATCACAAGTAGGCAGAGAGGCAGGCAGAGGCAGAGGGAGAAGCAGGCTCCCTGCCGAGCAAGGAGCCCGATGTGGGACTCGATCCCAGGATGCTGGGATCATGACCTGAGCTGAAGGCAGCCGTTCAACCAAATGAGCCACCCAGGCATCCCAAGAGATTCTGTTTTGAAAGAGTCACCGGTTTGCAGTGGACATATTTTATGTGTGAAAGTGGTGAACCGTGTGGAGAAAGACGCTGAGGGCTTCAGAGCTGTCTTTCTGGCTGTGAGGCCTCAGGGGCCTGCCGCAGCCACGGAGGGTCCGCCCCTGGAATTTAGCAGGCCCCCCATGTCTGGGATGAAATTTTCTCCTCAAATGGGGCGCCTGGGTGGCTCAGTCAATTAAGCGTCCGGCTCTTGGTTTCAACTCAGGTCATAAGCTCAGGGTGGTGAGTTTGAGCCCCGAGTCATGCTCGGGGGGGGTCCGCTCGTCCCTCTCCTTCCCTCCTGCACTCTCTCTCTCTCTTTCTCTCTAAAATACATAAATAAAATCTTAAAAAAATAATAAAATTGCCTCAATGCCCAGCGCATCTACTATTTCTTATAAATAAAATCACTATTTCTTACTTCACGGTTAGTGTATTCTAGATTCTTCAAGCTAGCCAACGGACAGAGGAAAAAAAGAAATCATGGTGGGAAATAACGTTCTTTTCATTCCGAGTCTGGTTTTAGTTTTAACTGAAATGTGCTGATGCCTCTTACAGAGTTTTGGTCCACATGATCTTGGCGAGTTATATAATCGGGACACAGCTGGATCCCAGATTCTGGAGGATTCTGTCTCCTCCCCTCAGCCTATCCCTGCTGCTGCCTCCCTCCCTCTGGATCCCTCTAGTCAATGGCTTCTTGCTCTCCTGGACAAAGTCTCCATTGTCCCACAGGGAAAAGAGGGAAAGATATATTACTGCCATATAGGATTTCTTATAAGGGGATTGCTTTCCTATTTTTTTTTTTAAAGATTTTATTTATTTATTTGACAGACAGAGATCACAAGTAGGCAGAGAGGCAGGCAGAGAGAGAGGAGGAAGCAGGCTCCTCGCTGAGCATAGAGCCCGATGTGGGGGCTCGATCCCAGGACCCCGGGACCATGACCCGAGCCGAAGGCAGAGGCTTTAACCCACTGAGCCACTCAGGCGCCCCTGCTTTCCTATTTTGAGATGTAGCAGAAAAACGCCACAGCCGTTTGAAACGGTGGTGTAACATATGCTCAGCGACACGGAGATGAAGCTGCTATAGTGTTGGCTGAAAACCGGCAGATTACTCAAGAGTATGTAGAGAGCATCTTATTTTTAAAAATATAAAATAGTCGCCTTACTTAGGAATCGTAGGACCATGGATGATTTTTCTTCCTTCTGTTTAATGCTGAGGGACTGCCAGGGCAGAGGAGAAAAATTTTTGCTGGTGATGCCCCCATAAAGCAATTTTTAAAAAGATTTATTTATTTATTTGAGAAAGAGAGCACGCAAGTGTGGAGGGGGAGGGGCAGAGGCAGATGGAGAGAATCACAAGCAGATTCCCCACTAAGCGTGGAACCCTACTAGGGCTCAATCTCACAACCCGGAGATCGTGACCTGAGCCCAAACTAAGAGCCTGGCACCTAAGCAACTGCGCCACCCAGGCGCCCCACCCACGAAGCCATTTTATTTTATTTTATTATTATTAGTATTTTTTTACGAAGCCATTTTAAGTATAAACTTCCTCTGGGGTTTATTTCAGTGGCCAGTTGGCATTTCTAAAATTCAGAATCAAAGACTGCAGAGACCTGAGACCGCTGTCCTTGGAGGGCCTGTTTGCCAGGCTAACCAAAGCTGGCACCTGGAAACTTGGAATCCAGAAATGCCCCTGCCATTGCCTAAGTAAGGAGGCTAATGGTGAACACAATGTTTTCTATGCTGAACACCTGCTCTCCTTCTAGGAGTCTGGAATTTTGATCTGTGCTAAGGAGAAAGGGCCTGCATTTCCAGTAAAAGCCCTGGGCACTGCATCTCTGATAAGTTTCCCTGGTAGACAACATTTCACACGTTGTCACGGTTTGTTGTTGGAGGAATTAAGTGTGTCCTGTCTGAGTCATTCCGGAGAAGGTTCTTGGAAGCGTGGGCCTGCCTGCCTCTGGAGTTTGGCTCATGTTCCTCTTCCCTTTGCTGATTTTGTTTTGTGTCCTTCTTCTGTAATGAATCATAGCCATGAATACAACCATATGCCAAGTCCCGTGGGTCCTTCCCACAAATCCAGAGGCTGGTTTTGGGGACACAGACTCACAGCTGGGATGTGGATATTTTGGTGGCTCTCACACTCATTTGAGCCCTAGAGTCTTTGATCCACAAGTCCAAGGTGTAGCTGCTCTGGTAGGAAGCGGGAAAGGGGAATCCCTTCTGGAATCTTCCAGGCCTTCTCCATCCCACTTGAGCAGACCTTGACCTCTTGAGGCAGGGAAATGGTTAGTTCCTTCTTCCTCATATGTAAGAGTCTACTCTTCAGGGAGTTTTGCCTTCCTCAGTGTTTTAAGATTCACCATGAAGAAATGGGGAGGAAGGACAAGTGTGAACTATGGGGGGGAAGATCCGTCCTGGGGGGGCTCAGCTGGTTAGACGTCTGCCTTTGGCTCAGGTCACAATCTCGGGGTCCTGGGATCGAGCCCCGAATCGGGCTCCCTGCTGAGCAGGGAGCCCGCCTCTCCCTCTCCTCTGCTTGTGCTCTTTCTCTCTGCCAAATAAATAAATAAAATCTTAAGAAAACAAAAGGCAAAGTGCAGAGCATGGACCCTGGGCTCAGATGTCCCTGCGCTGACGGGCTATCTGTCAGCTGCTGACCCTGGGCAACTTACTCAACCAGCTGGTTTCCTTCTCTGGGACACGGCTCCGGACAAAGACTAAATGTGTATCTAAAATGCCTGGTCCAGAGCCCCACGCTAAGAAAGCTCTCGATTAACATAAGCTTTTACCATTACAAAAAACTATAATCATTTCATAATACACATAAGTCCAAACCATTACGCCGTACCCCTTAAACTTGTGCAGAGATGAATGTCAGTTATATCACAATAAAACTGACAAACAAAAAACCAAAACAATTATAATACTGTTCAGTGTAGGAAACCCGGAAGCTCACATAGATAATGAAACCTCTTGACACGCAGCTTGGACAATCAGGCACGCGGACGACCGAAGTCCAGCACCGTCCCTCATATTACTAGGGCTGACCAGGCCCTGCTGGTCTGATGCCGCCTCTGCCAGCCTCGAGGCCCGCCACAGCCCCTCCTGCATTCCTGACGACCCCGGCGCTTGCAGATCCCCAGACATCCCGAACCTTCCCACACCCTGTCCTCTTCCCTAGAAGGCGGGCGCTCTCTCCTCCCAGCAGACTTTTCGTCTGTTCATATGCGCTCTCTTTGCAAATCAGACAAACCACAGCAATTTACATAAACCCTGCAGACTGCAGGGGTGGATTCCATGTTGTAGAAACAGGCTTTCTAGAACCTTCCCACACTTTAGAGTGCCCCAGGGGCTCTGTGCGCACCCCAAACAACGGGACTAGCATGCTGTCAGGCAGAGAGGGGCCTTTGGAGCCACCTGGTAGAAGGGAAGGCTCGGCATAGGGAGCAGAAGCTCCGGTCTTGAGTGGAAGGATTAAACCCGGTTCAGGGCTCAGACCCTAAGGCAACACCGGGACGCTCTGTCCTCCTTGTCTAGTTTCAAGTTGATTTTTTTTTTTTGCTGTATCAGAAAGTCCAAAGGAAAGAAAATCAAAACAAAGTAGAAAAAATGTAGAAAAGGAGAAAAATGCTCTTGCCTTTTGGATTCCTGCCTTTTCCCAGTAATGGACATAGTACTGGAAATAGCCCCGGTCGGGAGGGATGTCGAAGGGAGAGGAGAACCTGATGATCAGGGAGGCTTCTCCCGGTGTCACCCAGATGTTCTCAGGAGGCCCAACGGTAACTGAAACAGAGTAACGACACAAACACAATATATATACACACATATATATGTATATACACACATGCATACATTTTATATATAATACAACATATAATCTTATTTTTATTTTTAAATTTGAACCCAGTTAATTAACATATAGTGCATGGCTAGTTTCAGAGGTGGAGGTCAGCGATGCATTGGTGCCTACAACACCGGGTGCTCATTACGTCACGTGCCCTCCTTCACGCCCACCCTCCAGTTACCCCATCTCCCACCCTCCCGCCTGGCCCCAGCAACCCTCAGTTTATTTCCTATGATTAAGAGGCTCTTATGGTTTGTCTCCCTCTGTGATTTCGTTTTGGTTTATTTTCTCCTCTCACACATGATTATATACGTATACAGCGTGTACACACACCCACACCCACCCACACACACATTTTTAAATCCAGTGAGATCTCATTCTGGCACGGCGGACTCCCAGAGACTGGGCTTCACGTGGCAGGCCACGGGGCAGGAAGGCCACAGTGTGGCACCAGGGCTTCTGGTCGGTGGCAGGAGGGCCCCTGCAGCTGTCCACGTGTTGGCCCAGAGCCAGTCTCTTCACCTCACCCCCACCCCCGCCCAGTCTCCACCCCAGCACACAGCTTCCCTGCAGACTGAGACCCACAAGAGGCCGGTACAGGAGCCTCCCAGGCTGAAAAGCCCCAAGAGCCAATATCTCTTACAACAGCACCGCAGGAAGTTTCCAGAGTCCCCGTGAGGGCCACGCAGTTACAAGAATTGCTGCACTCAGCCGAAGACACGGGTCCCTCGAAGGCACTGGAGGGGCCCCAGGGAGGTGCAGCTTATCAGTCAGGGGTCATTTTGCCACAAGCGATGCTGCTTAGGAACATGGTGAACAGCCACTGTGACCGGGTTTCCAGAGAAACAGCCGGAAGGTTAACCACAGATCAGATTTTCAGGCAGAGGAGGAGAGGGGGACAGGATCTTGCTCCCCTTACCTACCACTTGGCTCCTTTGCAGATCTATGTTTAATACACATTCGTACTTCCTTACAAATGAACAAAAGTGGTATTTATAAACAGACCGTGTTTAAATATAGTACTGGAGAGATGTTGCCATTGGAAGTCTGTTTCTCAAAGCTTTTCACAGAGTTCCCGGGACCCTGAAGCATGTTGAAGGAAAGGTTCCCTCTTGTACGAAACAATCACTCAGACAGAGTGTGTAGCTCGGGCCCCACGAGTTCCGAGAGGCCCATCCATGCGCCGACCACACGTGCAGCCGATCGGATCACTGTGGCCAGTCGTGTGTTTGAGACCAGTTGTGTGTTTGAGACCGGTCGTGCTTTCCACGCTCCCACCTGGGCTCTCCCGGCTGGGCAAGGCCCTGGCACCTGTTGGGCAAGGGCTGTTGGGCAAGGGGCTGGTCCCTGCAGGGTTTGCAGCCATACCGTCTGGCGTCATGGGCTGTGGGGGAGGGACTAGCTCTAGACAGAGACCTGGCCGGCCTGGTCCCCTCTACCGTCCCACCGCCCGCCACCGGCTCAAGCCACGTTATCCTCAGGCCTTTCTCCTCCGTAGGACATGTTCTCTACACTTTTCTGTGACTTCCACGCAGGGGTGGGCCTGGAAGCCAGGGTGCCAGCCTGAGTGGTCATTTCGTCCCCTGGAAGGTCAGGGTGGAGAGAGCTGCCCTTCGAGAATTCTGGATCTGGGCTCTGGTACCAAGTGACAGGTGCCAAGAGGTAATGATACGGGTTTCCTGGATCTGATGTAGAGTGTGAATAAATGCCAGCCGCTCTTAGCCCTCTTCCATCAACGAAGCACTTTTTGAGGGGAACTGAGCCTGTCTTTTGAGGGGGAGATGATCCGCCCTCTCTCAACACACAGAAGGGAGTCTCGATTATCCGCGGGGGAGTCTCGATTATCCGCGGGTGACTGCTGACGGCAGCTTCCACGGACCAGCTCTCATTGTAAACCAGGCAACGTGGATTTTCACGTGTCCACCAGCTCTGCGTACCCTCCACAGAAGGTCATCTCGTTCCCACAGGGAAAAACAGAAGCCAGGAGGTCATCGAAGTTGCCCAGAGTCCTAGCCAGTAAGGGGCAGAGGGGGGATGTGAAACGAGGCCGATGTGACCCCCACCAGCTGCCGCCGCTAGCCATCTCCTCCTCCCTGCACACACGCTCATCCTCGCGTTGGTTGTGCCCCCCAAGTGCACAAGGCCTGGACCCAGCGATGGGCTCTGAGGACACGTCTGCCTCCGACTTTGCAAGTGAGGGCAGGGGATGACTGCCCAGCCGGGAACCACCTGGGAACACTGCTGCCCAGCTCAGGCTGGGAGGACGGGGAGCCGCTGATGGCTGGCACTGGACCAGCGACTTTGGCAACAGGCCCTGCTTCCAACCCTGTTCCTCTTCTCCGGCACCAGGGCCAGGGCCCACCATTACTTTTTCTTTTTCTCTTAACTAATTCCCAGCTAGGTGACATTTCGTAGCTCAGATATGTGCTGGTTCTCTACGCAAGGACAGACGACTTGTCCACGGTAACTGCCTGGCCCGCGGGGACTGCGCTGCCTTCTCTTCCAGTCCCCACACCATCTGGCACAAGCTGTGGGTTGCTCTTCCTAGCTTCCCAAGGCAGACACTCTCAGACATGTAGGAAAGAGAGGGAAGGTCATGATAACAACTCATGTCCTCATCACCCAACTTCCACCCACCTTGAGGTCATGGTCAACTTTGTTCCTCTCATCCCCCTTTGCCCTCTGCCCTCCCACTCTCTGGATTATTTTGAAAAATCCCAAACACCACATCATTTCATGTGTAACTACTCCAGTATGTGTCTCTAAAGCCTAGGACCTCCCGCCCCGCCCTTAAAAACATAAAGTACCATTATAGGACCTAAGATAAACGCACAGTAATTGCTTACTAGCCCGTAAAATAGCTAGACCGTGACCACACTCCCTCAGCTGTCTTCTCCCTCTGCTTAGTTTGCCTAAACCATGAGCACTGGGGCTCTGGGACACAGCTGACCCTGTGGGAAATGAATCACAGAAGGAGTGAAGTACAAACTAGAATCTGTCCGTTCTTACGCCCCCTTCCGATTTCTGGGAGCACATCTGCTCATTCAACCAAGCTCCACGGCATATCCACCACGAGCCAGGCACTGTTCGAGGCCGAATGAAAGTCTTTCTTAAACATAAAGGAAGTTGTGCCAGAAGAGAGGAGGGTGACCAGTGAAGCCAATATGTCCCATCCAGCCCAGAGGCCAAAGAGCTTTTTTTGGTAAAGCGCCCTAGTCAATTGGGCTTCGCGGGCCAAGCAATCTCTGTTGCAACTGTAGCTTGAAAGCTTGAACTGCTGTAGCTTGAAAGCATCCACAGACCATACATTATTAACAGACGGTGAAACTGTGTTCTAATAAAACTTTATTTACAACAACAGGTTGGCGGGCCGGATGTGGCCGACAGGCTGTGGCTTCCCAGGCCCTGGTCTTAGCAACTCACACTCCTCTAGCGCGAGCCTCCATGCTCAGTATGTGGGTTCGACCACTATACCCACCTGTTCACCAGCTGTGTGGGGCGAGACACAGGACAGGGGAGCGTGGAGTCCGCACGGCTCAGCGAGGAGGAAAGTGAAGAAAGCCTGAATGATAAAGGAAGTTTTAGAGCCAAGTTCTCTTACCATTCCAACAGGACAGGAACCAAGGCACTGTCAGCCAGGGGGAAGCCAGGTCCTCCAGCTTAGCTCGGACGCGTAAAGAGATGTTGAAATGTGGTGGGAAACCCTTTGAGAGGCTGCTTGGGGTGAAGTTACACTCCGGCTTGGTGAGGTTCATACAGTTCACACCTAAGTCGTTGGCATCGTACCACCTACTGCCAGAGAAGCTGCAAAGGAAAAAAGGCTTTCACTTCGTGGATTTCACTCTTCTGCCACATCCAACAATTTCCCCAGAGCAGATTTTTTTTTTTTTTTTTTTAAGAAGCTTTCCTGAGATCCAAGTTGCAGACCAAAGAATCCACCCCAGTGAAAGTGCACAACCAATGACTTTCAGGAGATTCGCGGGGTTGTGCAAACATCACCACGACCAATTTTAGGACATTTTTATCATCCCCCGAAGAAATCCCATACCTATTAGCACTCACTCCCCTCTGTGCCCTAACGCCCTAAGCCCTAGGTGACCATTAATCATCTCCTTTCAGTTTCTCAGGGTTTGCCTCCTCTGGACACTTCCTACAAATGGGCTCATGAACCACATGGTCTTTTCTGATTGGCTCTTCCCACGTAGCGTGTTTTCAGACGTGATGTGTGATGCTTACAGGACATTTGTTTCTCCATTGGCCTGTTTATGGTCATGTTGGTTGTTCCCACTTTTTGGCTGTTGTGGGTAACACTAAGAAATATTCACGTGCAAGTTTCTTTGTGGACATGACTTTTCAATTTTCCGGGGGAAATACTTAGGAGGGGAACTGATGGGTGATACCGTAACTCTTATTTTTAACTGCCTTCCCAAGTGGCTGCACCATTTTACATTCCCACCTGCAACGTATGAGGGTTCTGATTTCTCCGCATCCTCACCAATACTTGTCATTATGCCTTTTTTTATTATAGCCATCCTAGTGGCTGTGCTGTGGTATGTCCCTGTGATTTCAAATTTGCATTTCTCTGATGAATATTGGTGTTGGCATCTTTTTATGTATTTATTGGCTATTTGTAGATCTTCTTTGGAGAACTTTCTACTCAAACCCTTTCTCTGTATTTTTTTAAAAGAATTTATTTATTTATTTATTTGACAGAGATCACAAGCAGCAGAGTGGCAGGCAGAGAGAGATGGGGAAGAAGACTCCCCGCTGAGCAGAGAGCCCGATGCGGGGCTCGATCCCAGGACCCTGGGATCGGAGATCATGACCTGAGCCAAAGGCAGAGGCTTTAACCCACTGAGCCACCCAGGCACCCCACCCCCCACCTCTGTATTTTAACAGAGTTGTCTTTAATTGTTGAGTTGTAAGAGTTCTTTATGTATTCTGGATGCAAATCTCTTCTCAGATTTTTCCCCTTCAGTCCTGCAACTGATTTTAATTCTCCAAGCTCAGCCCCTGCAGCTGACATCTTTAGGAAAGCTACAGTGTTCCTACAAACCCCGCTCATGCTTCCTGCTAGTGTGGAGTTCTGTTTACCCCATAGCTGCACATTTAACGTCTGTGTCACCCGTATGAAAACCCTGCTAAATACAAGGGCACATATTCTTGTAAATGACAGCTCTGACCTCTGTTCTCAGGTGACAGACTTGAGGAAAACCAGGGAGGTGACTGCTAGAGACCTCAATGGGGGGCAGTAGGCAGTGTGCTCTGTAGAGACCCGCTATGCCCCCAACAGCGGCTCTGGCCTAGAAAGCGAGGCGGGGAGAGACAGAAGAGAGGAGAGAGGAGGCTGGGGATCATTGCCACTGTCTCACACACACCACACGTGCCTCTAAGTGTACCTCTGACCCCGACCGGAAACTCTTCTGTCGAAGTGGCAAGATGAAGTCCACTTCAAGATGTGTGGCCGCGGCTTCTGTGTCTTACCACCAAGCCCCCGCGGCCAGACCCTGCTGGGGAGAGGGGTCCCCCAGCAGAGGCACCCCCCGGTCTTCGATTGGGGGTGCGCTTCAGAAGGGGTAAGTGATCTTTAAACACTTAACACAGATACTTAGAGACACTCTAACCTTCTCCCCACAGATCCCAGCTGCTGAACTTGGGCGAAAGGCTCCCCACATTTCAAAGGTCATTTCCCCATTCAGCAGGGAATGGACCACTCCTGTTCCCCATCCTCCCCTCAACTCCACACTTGGCCCTGCCTCAGAACTGCTTTTGAAAAACGGTTCTCCACAAAGAGGTCTGAAGAGGGACAAACCATCCGAATTTAAATGACAGCTGACACAAGACAGCAATTTCAGGGGGAAGAGAGGAAAAGGAAGCTGCGTTTGGGAGGCCACATCGCTTTGTCTTTGCAAACAGGAGAAATGAGGGGATGTTGGCAGCCCTTCAATGAGCGCAGCCTGGAGAGCGTGACCCTGCGTGACCTGGCCTCCTGGGGCCCGGGTGCTGGGGTGTAGGGTGGGGGTGGGGGTGTGTGTCGTTTGAGTCTCACCCCAAGAGTCCCCACTGGCTCCCCGTCACCATGTGTCCAGCATGGACTGCCTCTGTCCCTGAGTTCTCTCATCAGGAGAGGGAGCACGGCACAGCGGCTGAACACACGGACTCTGGAGCCAGATCACCTGGGTTCAAATCCCAGTTACTTCGCTTTTCAGTTCCTTAGTCCCCTTATCTATAAAATGGGGATAAATGATGGTATTTGCCTCCGAGGGGCCATGAAGGTCCAACCAGCTGACATTAGGAAAAGTGCCTGAGCCCGGACTGGGGGCCCCCAAAAGCACCATGTAAATCACTTGTTCCACACGTGGGCAGCTGTGGGCTTCACTGTTCAGTCTGTTACATCATTTCCAAAAATGGCAAGTGTCCCCTTGCACCCAGCAATTCCTCCGCTCCAAATATACGAAAACAATCAGACAATTTATGTATGAGAACACAGGCTGGTGACCATCTACACCCGCCAGTGGGGAAGCGTTGAATATATCATGTGTGATGCATCCTCTAATAAAACAAGCGGTAAAAATATTCACACAGAGATCACTAGGAGGATCACTAGCTCACACACTTAACTACATTTGGTTGAAAAAAAAAAAAAGGAAGCAGTACCCAAAGACATAACCCCAGTTTTGTTTCATTTTTACGCATACACGGGCACATTTTCAAACCAAGTGCACACATTTAGGAAAAAAGTCTAGAGAGAAATACACCAGAAGGAGAATAGGGATTATTCTTGGGCTATAAAGCACTAGGTTGTTTTAATTTTATTCTTTCTACTTTTCTGGGTGTCGTAGCTTTTTTGTAAAGAACAGTGTTGTTGTTAAAATCAGGGAAAAAAAAGGAAATAAAAAATGTTTCAGAAGACTGGCTGGTCAGGTTAAGTTTTTTAAAAGTGAAATCTCTAGAGTTTTTAATGTTGGGACTATATGAAAAAAAAAATTAAACACTGTGGGTCTAACCCAGCATGAAGGCCACACTCATTACAACCCCTGATTTAAACTTGAAAATTTCCCACAGTTCTCAGTGTAATTTGGCTTTGGCTACTGTACTACCAGAAAACAGGTACCTTCATTTCTAATTACAGTAATGCTTTGCTGTAGAGAAATAAGATGGAAAAGTTTTAAGTCCCACAAGACTCAAAATGATTATTTCATGTCACTAAACCGTCCCAAACATGTAAAAGTCTCTGAAAACAAAACAAGAGCAAAGGCCGTCCTCTCATCAGATTTGTGACTGGAAAAGAAAACAAGACCAGCCCGGGTTTCAGTTTCTCGTTACCCCTCAACTTTTCCAAAGAAGGATGTTCACATTCAACCCATCCTTTGTTTCTTTTACTAGAACCATCTTCTATCCTGAAAAAACCATCTCCAGAGTGCTTTCCAAAAAGGAAACGAAGTATAATAAACATGTTAGTCTGGGAAAGGAAACCGTCAAAGGCTTTAAGGAATATTTCCACTATCTCCTGGCGCTCTGTTGACCCACAGATGTACTTCCCCCCTTCAAGGCTAAGGAATGCTAGTCAGGGTATGAGCTGTGACTTCCTGTCACCAAAAGCTTGTTTAGTTCTACGATACCACGTTTACTGAGTGCCGAGTAGGGCAAGCTTCGTGGTCACAGGACCTGTGCAGGGGCCCAAGCCCCACTCTGAGGAGTCACTCAATTTGATGCGTGGCTGCCGCCATCTTGAAATTCTCAGTAATTCTGAGCAAGGGGCCTTGCACCATTTTCATTTTGTGCTAGACTCACAAATTATGTACCTGGTCCTTGTGGATCTGTCCGCCTACTGTAGATTGCTTTGTACTTACTTGAGGAACAGCTAAATGTAATTCAGACATAACCCCTAAACCCTGGTTTAGAATCTATTCTTATTTAGCAAATGCTGTTACAATGGACATTCGAAGGCGAAAACGAAGTCATCTGGAAACGCGCTCCTCTTACAAATTAAGTGCCTGTAATTTTTCCAGGTTCCTTCCCTGTTCTTGACCACAGATATGGTCCAGATTTTACACATTTGCAACCGCTACCAGATTATCCTTTTTAATAGTTCCTGAATGTTCAATGACTAGTTAACGTGACACAATTTGGCATTTTTCTGCTGATGGACACGAATGTATACTTCAATGTCTATCTATCTTCATGAATATGAGTGGTTTTCTTCTTCCTTCTTTTTTTTTTTTTTTAAAGATCTTATTTATTTATTTGAGAGAGAGAGAGAGACAGCACGTGGGGGAGAGGGAGAGAGAATGTGAAGCAGATTCCACTCTGAGAGCCTGACGCGGGGCTTGATACCACAACCGGGAGATCATGACCTGAGCTGAAACCAGGAGTCTGATGCTTAAACGACTGAACCACCTGGGCACCCCAGTTCTTTATCTTTTTCTGATGGGAGCTTGTATCAGCTATGTAGGGGGAAAGTAACGTGGGTATTTCTGTGACTTGATCTGTCCAGTGGCTAACGCTGCGGGAGGAGGGCTGGGCTAACTCACCCTCTCGCCCAGCACGATCTCCATCAACCACACTCTCCCAAGCACAGAGCATTACCATTTCCTTACATTTTGTGTGACTGGTAATACAAAATGAATTGGCCAATAATTTTAAACTTCGTCTTCTCTTAACCTCTGTAACACAGTAAACACGTAACCACTGAGGACTTTGATTTTGTCTTACTTCTTCCCCTGTGTGTTTCTGTTGTACACCAAGGGATGAGAAAGTGTGAAAGCCAGTGAGAGAGAGAATGAGGGGCCAGAATAACGTGTGAAATGGAAAACCCCTTTTAGAGATCGAGAATTAGTAGCGATTAAGTGAATACTTTCCTTAGTAGGCCAAATCTGGCCTGCAAAGTTCGATAAACCAGAAATTTCAAACTTGAGGAAGATGAAGGCTACAAGGTGCCTCCTGCCCTTTCAAGACAGGAAGCCGTCTTCTACAAACCTCTCCTGAACCCAAAGAGAGGACAGTCGTCCCCCAACTAAGAAGCCCCATAGGTAGGCAGCCCAGTCTCTGCGACACCAGTGCCGTTTAAGCCTTCGCATGAGTGGGAGGTTGTGAAATCTCTGTCCTTGGAGATTTTAAAAGTACAAGAGGAATATCTGTTTCCAGCGGATTTGCCGGCAATCCTGACAAGAAGCAAGCCAGAGCCGCTGGCCCTGAGGCTCCCCGCACCCCTTCCCGCAAGGACGCCAACAGAAGGATCCGGCTTACTATTTGTACTGCACCTGGTAGACCACTGGCCTGCTGTCATTGCTCAGGGACCCCGGCTCCCAAGTCAAAACCTGCTCGGCGTTGTACAGGTGAACCTTCGGGTTTCGAGGAGCTGGCAGCTGGGAGAGAGAGTCTTGAAAGGGGCAGGGAGAAAGAGAAGGGGGCAGAGGGGAGAGAGAAAGCGGGGGGAGGGTTGAGAGAGAAAAATCAGATTACAACAATATTTAAACACACAACTCCGTTTTTGTCCAAGTGCAGAAATGGTTATTGCCTGATGCATGTCCCCTTGCCCTGGCCTTGGACTAAGTATGGCACCAGTGACACAGCCGGTGGGAAAGAGAGGCCTGGGGCCTGCAGGTTGCAGTTCTTAGGAACGGGGCCCGGGTGCCGGAGTCCACTGGAATCCATGCTCTATCCCGAATAAGCACGTGTGGCTGGGCAGGTGAACTGGACAGCCTGGGCTCACGGTCTTCTTCAGGAGTGAGGGGTAAATAGCAGTACTTTCTGTAAGTGAACGCTGGGTCGGTGGCCACGCGACACGCATTGGCCCCAGACTAGCCTTAGTTGCAGACGTGCATTTGTACCGACGGAGCATCTGGTAAACCTCCATGCACACACACACACACACACACACACACATGCACGCCCCAAGCCAAGTGTGCAAAGCCCAAAGGCACGTGGAGGGTGAGACATGTCCTTGGGGCTTCGTAAGGGTTGCATTGTTCCTCAAGGACCCCCAGTATCACAGTCGCCAAGGTCTTGCTTAAAGCGCAGACCCCCAGCCCCCCCCCCCAGACCAAGAAATCCACATCTCCAACAAGCTTCCCAGCTGAGTCTCAGGCACGGTGAAGGCTGACGGCTACAAACAGGGCTCCCTTCCCTGGGGAGCCAAGGCCAAGGTTAGAGCCGCCCTCCTGGGGTGACCTGGACTGGGCTGGGGACCACAACTGCCGCAGGCTCTTCTCTTGCAAGAAAACATGATCCTGACGGGCCATTCTCTGAGATGGAAGATGAGTGACCAACGCCCAGGAGGTGGAAAGAAGGGTTTTGAAAAACGTGCTGTTCCAGAATTCGGAGCAGGAAATTCAAACCGTATGTTTTTGGGAAATGCATCCCATCTCAAGAGTGGTGTCTGTCTGGCTCTTCCTCTGAGAGACGTGTTACTAAGAGTCCGTGGCCACTTGTTTACCTCCGGAATGCCTGCTGTCTCCACAGCCCCGAGCTCAGGAGGGCCCCAGTTCCAGAATAATCCTTATTCAACCGGCCAACCAGCACTTCTGCCAATTTGCACGAGGGCCAAAGGCAGGCAGGCTGGGGTTGCCTGGAAGGAGGCTCTGCTGGGCTGGCCCAGCTCGCTCCCCGTGGCTGCTGTGCGTGGCCCGCAGACCCCAGAGCGCAGTGAGCACTGGACAGCGCCCCCTGGGGGGAGGACTTCCTTAGGGCCTGGTGCTCAGCAGCGTCAGAGACCCCCAGTTTCCCATGGATGCTGAGATGAGGTGGCACAGATTCAGTGTCTTAAAACAACCCAGCTCGATCGCTTATGGTTCTGGAGATGAGAAGTTTGAAACTGCTCTCCCTCAGGTAGCGTCTGGGTGTTGGCAGGGCTGGGATCCTTCTGGAAGCTCTGCGGCAGAAATGGCTTCTAGAAGCAGCCCACATTCTTTGGCTCTGACTCCTTCCCCCGGCAAGAGTGGGCTGATTCCTTTTCTCTCTCTCTCAAGTGACTACCCATTTATTTATTTTTCTAAAAAAAATTTTTTTTTGAAGATTTAGTCATTTATTTTAGAGAGCAAGGGAGAGAGCACGAGCAGGTGGGGCAGGAGGAGAGGAGAAACCCAAGCAAACTCTGCCTTGAGCCCAGAGCCTGACATGGGTTTGATCCCAAGAACCCAGAGATCACAACCTGAGCCAAAATCAAGAATCAGACACTTAACTGACTGAGCCACCCAGGTACCCTTTTTTAAATATTTAAGTTCTAGGGGCGCCTGGGTGGCTCGGTGGGTTAAGCGTCTGCCTTTGGCTCAGGTCATGATCCCAGGGTCCTGGGATTGAGCCCTGCATCGGGCTCTCTGCTCAGCAGGGAGCCTGCTTCCCCCTCTCTCTCTGCCTGCCTGTGATCTCTGTCTGTCAAATAAATAAATAAAATCTTTAAAAAACATAAATATTTAAATTCTAGTTAGTGAACATACAGTGTTTACTGTATTGGTTTCAGTGGTAGAATCCAGGGATTCATCACTTACGTAAAACACTCAGTGCTCATCACAACACAGGCTCTCCTGAAGGCCCATCCCCCACCGAGCCCATCCCCCACCCACCTCCCTCCACCAACCCTCAATTTGTTCTCCATTGTTAAGAGTCTCCAATGCTTTGGGTTTTTTTCTCTCTTTTTCTTCCCCTGTGTTCATCTATTTTGTCTCTTAAATGCCACATGAGTGACGTCACACGGTGTTTGTCTTTCTCTGACTTCTTTCCCTTAGCATCACGCACTCCAGCGAGATCCACATTGCTGCAAAGGGCAAGCTTTCATTCTTCTGGATGGCGGAGTGACATTCCACCGCATACACAGACCCCGTCTTCTCCATCCATTCCTCAGTCGGTGGACATTTGGGCTCTCCGTACAGTCTGGTTCCTGCTGCCACTGCCGCTAGGAACACTGTGCCCGTAAGAATCTGTATTTTTGTACCCTTTGGCTGAATAGTGGTGCAATTGCTGGACCAAAGGGTAGTTCTATTTTTCACTTAAAAAATATCTTATTTATTTATTTACTTATTGGAGAGAGAGAGAGCAGAGGGTCAGGGAAAGAGAGAATCCCAAGCAGACTGTGCAGCTCAGAGCCTGACTCGGGGCTTGATCTCACGACCCTGAAGTCATGACCTGAGCCAAAATCAAGAGCTGGTGCTCAACCGACTAAGTCACTCAGGTGCCTCTCTATTTTTAACTTTCTGAGGAACCTCCATGCTGTTTTCCAGAACGGCTCTACCATCTGGCGTTCCTACCAACAGTGTAGGAGGGTTCCCCTTTCTCCGCATCCTCGCCAGCATCTGTCATCTCCTGTGTTGTTAATTTTAGCCATTCTGACTGTGTGAGGGGGTATGTCACTGTGTTTTTTTTTTTTTTTTTTTGTAAGATTTATTTATTTATTTATTTGACAGAGAGATCACAAGTAGGCAGAGAGGCAGACAGAGAGAGAGGAGGGAGCAGGCTCCTTGCTGAGCAGAGAGCCCGATGCGGGGCTTGATCCCAGGACCCGGGATCATGACCTGAGCTGAAGGCAGAGGCTTTAACCCACTGAGCCACCCAGGCGCCCCTCACTGTGGTTTTGATTTGTATTTCCCTCTTGCCAGGTGACGTGCAGTATTTTTCATGTGTCTTCTGGCCGTTTGGATGTCTTCTTTGCAGAAATGTCTGTTCATGTCTTCTGCCCATTTCTTAACTGGATTACTTGCTTTTTGGGCATTCAGTTTGGTAAGTTCTTCATTGATTTTAGATACTAACCTTTTATCAGCTATGTCATTTGCAAATATCTTTTCCCATTCTGGAGGCTGCCTTTTGGTTTTGTTGTGTGTTTCTTTTGCTGTGCAGTTTTTTATCTTGATGAAGTCCCAATAGTTCACTTTTGCTTTTGTTTCCCTCGCCTTTGAAGACGTGTCTAGCAACAAGTTGCTGTGGCTGAGGTCGAAGAGGGTGCTGTCTGTGTTCTCCTCTAGGATTCTGATGGATTCCTGTTTCACATTTAGGTCTTTCATCCATTTTCAGCTTATCTTTGCATACGGTGTGAGAAAGCTTCTGGTCCGGTTTCATTCTTCTGCATGTGGCTGTCCAGTTTCCCCAGGACTCTGTGTTGAGGAGACCAGGCCGATTCCCTTTCATGTTGTCACCACACTGGTCTGACTCCCTTGCCTCCCTCTTCCATCTTTTGAGGACCCTTGTGATGACAGTGGGACCATGGAGCCCTACCATCTGGGATCATCTTGCCATCTCAGGACCCCTGGTCACACCTGCAAGGTCCCATTTCCCACACGAGGTCATGCAGCCACAAGCTCCGGGGCTTAGGACGTGGACATCTTTGGGGACCATTATCTTGCCTGCCATGGTGCCCTTCACCATGCCCCCGTCTCTGGGGAGGAGCCATCTCCTGGCGCCTGGATCTCCAAGATCCAGACATCAGCTAAGGAAGGAAGCACCAAGGGCCCGAGCAGGAAGGGTGGGTCCACCCCAACTGACAGGTGGACCAGAAGAAAGGCTTCCCTGTAAACATGGAGTCTCCAGATGGGCCCTCTATGTTCTTCAGCTTTCATTTTCCTGACGTGTGGGGAGCTGCCCCGTAGTTTTACTCTGACATTTGACTTTTCTGGAATCCCCTGCCTTACCACATTCAGAGATGATAACAAGTCTTAAAACCAAGGGTTTCACAATGAAGCACCGAAGACTGCCCACTCATTAGCAACTGCCTCATCACACTGCCCTCTGCACCTCTCGGAAGGCCCGTCCTTGAACTGCCTCACCCCTACACCACGGACCTCATGGGGCCCTCCTTGTTCCTGGGAAACTCAGAACCTGCCTCTGCGGCTCCTTCTCTGGAACCTTCTTTCCCCTTATGCCACAGCTCTCTCCCCTACTCCCTTCCGGTCTCTGCTCTCACTAGAGTGGTTTCTTGTGTAAAATGCCCAGGGCGCAGGGGTCCCTGTCTCTGCTTGACTCATCCACGTGGTGCTAGGTCACCACCTGGGTCCTCTGTTTACACCACGGTAAGGAGCATGGATTCCAGAACTAGACTGCCTGAGTTCAAAGCTGCACGCTCCTTAGGACCTTGGGCAAGTTGTTTAACTTCTTTGTGCCTCAGCTGTCTCATCTGTAAAATGGGTACAGTACAGACTTCGCAGTGTCATTATGAGGAGAGAACAAGCTAGTTTTATGCGTGGGGCTGAGGACAGGGTAAGCACCTTGTGGCCCATGCCTCTCTGCATTGCTAATGGTTTATCGACGGTACCCCTGAACACAAGAGTGGGGAGCTCCAGAAAGGCTGAGTGTTGTTGGATTTGGGGATTGTTTTATTCCCCCCTGCCTGGAAGAGCAGGCACTCCAGATCTGGGGAATGACTGGCCCGCAGCCCAGCGGCGGGCTTGCTTTCAG